CGGCTTGCGTTTCAGAATAACACAGGACAGACACCCAGCAAGGGGCTGTCCATGTCCGAGGTGTGTGTGGGATGCTGCGCTGATTCTTAACTGCTCTGAGCTAGGATCCTCTACCACAAGGAAGGGCAAATGTGCCTTTTTGGAACCAGAAGAAAAAGCATATATAAACAAAGAAGCAAAACTCTAATTGTCATCAGGCATGATGGCTTACAGCTGTAATCCCAGCATTCTGGGAGGCTAAGGCAGGTGGATCACTTACAGTCAGGAGTTCAAGGCCAGCGTGGCCAACATGGTGAAACCCCATCTCTACTAAAAATACAAAAATGAGTCAGGTGTGGTGGTGCACACTTGTAATCCCAGGTACTGAGGGAGCTGAGGCAGGAGGATGGCTCAAGCCCTGGAGGCCGAGGTTGCAGTGAGTTGAAATCATGCCACTATACTCCAGCCTGGGCGAGAGACTGAGCATCTGTCTTGGGGGGAAAAAACATCTAGTTGTCTATTTCTAAAAATAGCTAAAGCCAGGCGCAGTGGCTCAAGCCTGTAATCCCAGCACTTTGGGAGGCCGAGGTGGGTGGATCACGAGGTCAAGAGATCGAGACCATCCTGGTTAACATGGTGAAACCCCATCTCTACTAAAAATACAAAAAATTAGCTGGGCATGGTGGCACGTGCCCGTAATCCCAGCTACTCGGGAGGCTGAGGCAGGAGAATTGCCTGAACCCAGGAGGCGGAGGTTGCGGTGAGCCAAGATCGCGCCATTGCACTCCAGCCTGGGTAACAAGTGAACCTGTCTCAAAAATATAAATAAAAATAAATAAAGAAAAATAAAAATAGCTAAAGACAAGAGCAACATTTTGTTGAATTGAAAAGGGGATTTCTGAGGCCAGAGTGGCCAGGAATGGCTTCCTGCGTGACAAGGCTCTCACAGGACCCTGCAGACTGTGGTGGCCCCATCCCAGGAGCAGGCTGCAGAGGGCAGATGAGGCCGTGAAGGCGGAGTCCGAGACCCACAGGGTTCCCCGCAGTCTCTGAGCACTGAAAGCAAATGCACTGCTGAGTCAGCGCAAGAGAGAACCCGCCCAGGAAGCAGCCTTGGGGCCAGGATGAGAGCCGGTGTACCCCTGCCCGCCCCAGAGGACACTTCCTCTCTGTGGGACCCTTGCAGCTAGGGCTGGAGCTTTGTGTCCTGGGCACCAGCAACCCCTTCATGATGACCACCTGCCGTGACCCATCTCAGCTCTTGGGCAGTCCCTGCTCCTTCCCCAAACATGCACACTCACGCATGGGCACACTCGCACCTGCAGCCCTGGGAGCTAGGCCCCCTCCTTCCTGCTGACTCACTCAGCCTCCAGGCCCAGCATGAAGACAGAGCGTGCCCCTCTGCCACGCCAGCAAGCGGATGCTCGGAAGAGGTCCCCAAGCCTCAGAGGAACGCAGCCCCCGCCCCACTCTGCCACGGCTATGCTCTTCCCAGAATCCTCGCATGGGACAGGCCAGGGTTCTGCACAGGCTCTGAGACCCCAGCACAGACCTCTGAGGGGTGACTGCAATCCTGGGCTGGGTGGGTCTGCACTGCTAAGTGCTGTGACCAAGTGTCTGCTGTCCCCCAGGCCTCCGTGTTCACATCCCTGAGGCAGAAAAAGACCTGTTCTGGGCTGCCTCCCACGGCTGGTGAGACTGCAATGGTGAGCATGGTCTGAAAGAGGAGGAAGCGTCCCCCATGCTAACTGGCGACACTTCACAATCAGCCTGAAACAGATGACGCCCCGCTTGCCGGTTGTGGGTGTGCCCCCAGGCCATGCCACGAGGCACCCTGAAAAGCAGAAGCCATATTGTCAGCCCACGTGCGTGTCCCACGGTTAGCCCCACCACGGCCACGCTCTCACCGCCTGGCTTTCCGCAGCCTTGTCTAGTTATTCCACTGATAGAGCAGGAGGTGCAGTCCCGTTCTATCCAAATCATAAATGTCCTGCCTCCTCCCCTTTTTTTTGAGACAGCAGCTGTCACCCAGGCTGGAGTGCAGTGACACAGTCATGGCTTACCACCCCTGGACTCAAACCATCCTCCCACCTTGGCGTCCTGAGTAGCTGGGACTACAGGTGCACCACCACCATGCCCAGTTCATTTAAAAATATTTTTCAGGCCGGGCACAGTGGCTCAAGCCTGTAATCCCAGCACTTTGGGAGGCCGAGGCGGGTGGATCACGAAGTCATGAGATTGAGACCATCCTGGTCAACATGGTGAAACCCCGCCTCTACTAAACATACAAAAAATTAGCTGGGCATGGTGGCACGTGCCTGTAATCCCAGCTACTCAGGAGGCTGAGGAGGGAGAATTGCCTGAACCCAGGAGGCAGAGGTTGCGGTGAGCTGAGATCACGCCATTGCACTCCAGCCTGGGTAACAAGAGTGAAACTCCATCTCAAAAAAAAAAAAAAAAAAAAAAAAAATTTTTTCCTTCAGAGATGGGGGTCTGTCTATGTTGCCCAGGCTGGTCTCGAACGTTTAGGCTCAAGCAATTCTCCCCCCTTTGCCTCCTGAAGCTCTGGGCCTACAGGTACGAGCCACTGCGCCCAGCCCTGCGCTGACATCTCTCTAGAAGAGCTTGGTCCTGATCCCCCAAGCCTCCAGGAAGAGCAGGTGAGGCTGTCGAAGGAGGCTGCTGCTCCCTGTGGGTGAGGGCAGCACTCTGTCAGATTTGTTGGTAATGATCCTGTACTTGGGGAGGGGCGTGGGGGCCAGAGGCACGCAGGATGACTCAAACCCTCACCAGGCACTGTCTGAGCCAGCACAGGCACACACTGACTAACGCCTTCTGAAGGCCTCATTCATTTCCAAAACACAGTAGAACTAACAGCTTCCAGCCAAAGCTGGCCAGAGATGGAGAGGGAGGGGGCCTCAGAAGACAGCAACGCCAGTGTCCCGCCTCCGGCCCGGCCGGCCCAACCTGCACATCCACGGTCCCTTGGAGCTGCCCACACCCCAGGGCCAGAGAGCCTGACTCAGGAGTCCCAGCCAGCAGGCGGGTCGGGCTCTCGGCTGGCTCCACATCCACCTCCCACAGGCGCCCGCGACAAGCACTGAAGCCCAGACCCCTCGCCCCACGCCCCACGCCCCATGCCAGACACAGAATCAGTGTGGGGGATGGACTGGGATTCAGCATCTCCTACCTTAATAGATTTTATTTAGCGGCAGTTTTAGGTTTACAGAAAGTACCATACAGAGAGCCAGTCATCAAGATTTTTTAAAACTGTCACAGGAAACTGACACATGGCCAGGGTGAGGACCCCTGGGTTACCTCCACCTCCTCCCCAAGGAAGCCAACAGTAAGAAGAACGTGATCCCTCCCCGGGATCCCCCACCAGGACGGCAATGGGGACGGGAGAGGAACCCAGGCCCCTGACCAACGCTCGGGGGTCAGGTCACTGCCACAGAATCTGACCCAACACTTGTTTAGGTACAGCCCATGAGCTACTGGCTTTTACATTTTTTAATGGCTGGAAAAAACACCAGAAGAATATTTTGTGACATGAAAATATTTACTATCTGGCCCTTTAAAGAAAAACATTGCCAACTCTGCCCAAGGAGCAGCCACTGTCTGAGAGGGGACATTCCCCGCAGGAAGGGCCCCAAGTCCCCTCAGACACAGGAGGAAACGCGAACGCTCCGTGTGAACCGCACAAGAAGCTTTCCTGTTTCCCTCTCTAGGGCCCGTAAGCTCCAGACTCTGCCTCTGTGCTGTCCTGTTTCTGAGGCACAGGAAGGAACACGGCCAGGCCCTGTTTACGGCGCATCTGACCCAGTGCTGGCAGCAGGTCCCAGGCCACCCAGGCCACACAGGGCTGAGGCACTGAAGCAAGTTGCTCGAAACCTCTCCTCTCCAACCTTGACGGTTTCCAGTGATTCCTGTCTAGAACACGGTCCCCAAGTGTCACCACCTTTCTGGGCTACTTGATCCAAACGCACTGTCTGGGAGTCTCACGCAGGCGGCTCTTGATTCCCAACACGAGCGCTGGGCGAGCTCCCACCTGAAGCTGGCAACGGCTGTGGAAGGGCTTTTAGAATGAAAACCCCACACCTGCGACGGACACAGCGGACTCCCATTGCAAATCATCCCACTTTCGCGTGGTTTAATCTCATCTGATTGCTTTCCCGCTCAGGCACACGAGGAGCGCACCCGGGAGGAGGGGACCCGCCCTGGGTCCTGGGTAGACCCAGGTTGGGAAGGGGTAGGGGTGCCAGGCCGTGGAGACCACCCGGGTGCGGTTCCCATAAGGGGCACCACTGCCCAGCAAGCAGGGGACACAGAGGCCAGGACTGAGGACCCCTGCCCGCCCTGACACCAGGCCACAGCCTCCGGGGTGTCCCCTCCCCCACACCAGGGCAGAGGCCGCCCCCGCCCCTGCGAAACGGAGCCCAGTAGGGCAAGGGAGGAGCAGGGAGGAACCCACACTATTTTTTTCCAAAGTATGGGACCGCCTCAGTCCGGCAGAGGGGGTGCCGCGGTGGAAGCGGGGCTGGGCTCGGGAAGCTCCAAATTAAACAGCTCCAGGCAGGAAGCCCGCCTGCTCCCAGATTGGTCAGGAAGTCCTGATGCAAGTCTGCGCTTTTTTTTTTTTAAACACGAAAGAGAAAAAGAGATTCGCGGTCCCCCCCCCCCCACAGCGCTCTGGCACCTCCCACCGGGGCAAACACCCCCTCGCCCGGGGCCCCCTCTCCGCAGGCCCCGGCGGAGTCGCCAGCCTCGCTATCCCCGGCGCTCGCCCGACCGCCCCCGTGGGCGCGCGGTGCCGTCTCCCCCCCACCCCCCGCCGCCGCCCTTCCAGCCCGACTCTGGGACCCGAGCCCCGCCGCCTGGCGCACTCATGCTTCAGGAATGCGGGCGCCCGGGCCGCGCGTCCCGGGGAATCTCCGCGCCCGCCCTCCTGCCCGCCCCGGCCGGCGTCGCCAGGTGATCAGGCCGTGGGGAGCCGAGACGCAGCCCCTCCGGCTCCTACTCACCCGCCAGGAGCGCGCAGGGCAGCAGCAGCCAGTACAGGACCGCGCCGAGCACGTGCGGCTCCATCCTGAGGGCCCAGGGCCCGGCCCGGTCCGTGCGGACGCCGCGGCGCTATGGGGCGGTGCGGGGGCCCCGGGACTGGCGCGCCATGGCTGACCCGCGGGGACCCGCGTGCGCCTCCTTCTCCTCTTCCTCTTCCTCCTCCTCCTCGGCCGGGCCCGCTGTGCCCCGCCGGTGCCGACGGCCCGGGCCCGCGCTCGCTCAGGCGTCCGCCCTGCCCCTCGGCGGAGCGCAGCGCGCGGCTCACTGGGGCCAAGCTGGGCCGGACGGCGGCTCCCGCCCTCCCCCGCCCGCGGGCCTTTATAAGCTCGGCCCCCGCCCGCCCTCCCCGGCGTGCCCGCCTCCGCGCTGCCCCGACGGCCCGGCGCGCCCAGGCACCCCCTCCGCTGCCCCGCGCAGCCCGTCCGCCCTCCGGCCTGCGCTGCTGCCTGGGGGCCCCCGACCCGCGCTGGCCCCAAGCGGACCCCCCACCCTCCCGCAGCCTTGGCCCCGCGGCCCCGAGTGTGCCTGGCGGTGGCAGGCGCGCTTCTCTCTGGGCCGGGCCGGGACTGGGGCCCGGGCGCTAAATAAAGGGTCCCCGGGCCTGGCTCCCCCAGGCAGCGCCCCACGCGCAACTGCGCCCCGCGTGCCCAAGGGACTTTCGCTTTACTCCGGGAGGCGCGAGCACGCAGCGCCCCCTGGGGACCGTGGGGAGGCTCGGAGTTCCCGCAGCGGCCGGGCCTGCTGGTCCCGGAGGGAGCGCGCGGGATGCTGAGGCCCAACGGCGCCGCGGTCAGGTCAGCGAGGGTCTGAAGGGGGCCTGGGGGCTGCTCCCAGCCACGCTGGCCACCGCAGGCGGCTTTGCCGGGGTCGCTCTGCTGTGAGACCGTGAGAGGAGCCACGGCCTGTGCACCTGCTGCCGCGGCGCCCAGCGACGGAGAGGCGGGGTCTGAACCCAGGGTGTTCTGGGACCCTCACCCAGACCTGCCCTCACCCAGGCCACCTCGGCTTGGCCTTCGTCTGTCCTTGACGGGAGGCACTGAAAGGAAAAGGGGAAGGGCTCTACACCGTTTAATTGGGCTCAGTCGATGGCCCCCAAACTCAGCTGCAGAAGGGAGGGGTTGGGGTCTGGGGGGCTGTGGCCGCTGAGCCTCAAGACACTGGCAACTCACAAGAGAGCCCAGCACAAGCCTACCCTCCAACCTTAAAAAAAAAAAAAACCGGGAGCCGCTCCAGTTGTCCTGGAGCTTGAGGACACGAGGCTATGAGTTCAAGGCTAACCTGAGCAACATAAGAAGCTCTCATTCATAAAACAAAAACAAAAGAACGCGAGGCCGTTGCAGTGGCTCAGGCCTGTCATCCCAGCACTTTGGGAGGCCAAAGAGGAAGGATCCCTTCAGGTCAGGAGTTCAAGACCAGCCTGGCCAACATGCTGAAAACCCGTCTCTACCAAAAATTCAAATATTATCCGGGGTTGGTGGTGCATGCCTATAATCCCAGCTACTCGGGAGGCTGTGGCAGAAGAATCACTTGAACCTGGGAGGTAGAGGTTGCAGTGAGCCGAGATCATGCCATTGCACTCCAGCCTGGGAGACGAGCAAAACTCCATTAAAAAAAAAAAAAAAAAAAAAAAGCCCACTTTGGGAGGCCGAGGCGGGTGGATCACGAGGTCAAGAGATCGAGACCATCCTGGTCAACATGGTGAAACCCCGTCTCTACTAAAAATACAAAAAATTAGCTGGGCATGGTGGCGCGTGCCTGTAATCCCAGCTACTCAGGAGGCTGAGGCAGGAGAATTGCCTGAACCCAGGAGGCGGAGGTTGCGGTGAGCCGAGATCGCACCATTGCACTCCAGCCTGGGTAACAAGAACAAAACTCCGTCCCAAAAAATAAATAAATAAATAAATAAATAAGCAAGCCAGAAATTGGGGTTTTTCATGGGAAGTTTAGTATTTAAAGGCTTATTTGCTTTCTCTCCAAGTCTCACTCTCTGGTCTGACTTTGAAAAGTCGCTACAGAGGTGGGGAAGTCTGGGGGCTTGCTGTGCAGATGGACTTTGCAGAGGTGTTGGATGTAGGTGCTCTAGACGGGGAAAACCGCCACCCACAGCAGCCTGGGAAATAAATGATAGTGTATCTCTCAGTGGAGGGCTGCACAGTAGTAAAGAGAATCCCTTGAGCCGTTTTGTAACAACATGGAACAATTGCTAAGATACAGTGTTACTGTGTAGCAGCAGTAGGAGAGAAACCTGCAAATGCTCCATTATGCAGGAAGAACAATTGCTAAGATACAGTGTTACAATTGTATCTTGAATTGAAAATGTTAAATTGTAACAATGAAAATGTTACAATGAAAATGAAAAGCAATTGGGTGCACTCAGAGCCACTGTCACCCACCTGGGGTGGGAGGGAGGCCTGTCTTCCCCGCCCTTTGGTGCTGTTCTAATGTTTTGCTTTATACATAATTCACTTATTCACAAAATAAAATTAACAAAATGGAGACAAACACTCAGAAGAAGATCTCTGCTTGCCGGGCAGGGAGAGGTGGGGTGGGCAGGGGCACGGGAGCCCACCTCTCCCGCAGCTGTGGTGCGTCTGGCTGCATCTCCTCTTGTGCCCAGTCTATGACCCATTCAGGAATTTGGACCGTGTTCTCACTCAACCCCTGTGGTTGAGTTAGCGCCAGAGAGGGATAGCCCAGCCTTGCCAAAGGAATAGCCCAGCCTTGCACCCAGCCTTCCAGATTCTAAGTCCGAGTCACTCCTGTCCCACTGCTCCACAGACAGGGGCCCTTTCTCAGCTTGCTGTTGCTTTTTATTTTTGTTGCTGTTTGAAACAGTGATTTGGCCAGGCATGGTGGCTCATGCCTGTAATCCCAGCACTTCAGGAGGCTGAGGCCGGCAGATCACCTGAGGTCAGGAGTTCAAGACCAGCCTGACCAACATGGCAAAACCCCATCACTACTAAAAATACAAAAATGAGCTGGGTGTGCTGGCCAGCACCTGCAATCCCAACGACTCAGAAGTCTGAGGCAGGAGAATCGCTTGAACCCAGGAGGCAGAGGTTGCAGCGAGCCAGGATCGCACCATGGCACTCCTGCCTGGCAACAGAGGGAGGCTTCATCTCAAAAAAAAAAAAAAAAAAAAGCAGTGATTTTTTAAATTTAAATTTAAATTTTATTTTATTTCTTTGAGATGAAGTCTCGCTCTGTCGCCCAGGCTGGAGTGCAGTGGCATGATTTTGGCTCACTGCAGCCTCCACCTCCCAAGTTCAAGCAATTCTCCTGCCTCAGCCTCACAAGTAGCTGGGACTACAGGCGTGCAGCACCACACCTGGCCAATTTTTGTATTTTTATTAAAGACGAGCTTTCAACATGTTGGCAAGGCTGGTCTTGAACTCCAGGCCTCCTTGGCCTCCCAAACTGCTGGGATTCCAGGCGTGAGCCACCACACCAGGCCGGTGATTTAGTGGTCACGTCCCCTTGGGAGAGAGGAAAAGTCAGGACAAGAGGGGTCAGAGGGACTTTGAGCTTTATCATGCAGGTTGTAACTTTCCCCCAAACATAATATAGCCATCATTACTTGTCTATACTTAAAAATTAATTTTAGGCTGGGTGAGGGGGCTCACACCTGTAATCCCAGCACTTTGGAGGCTGAAGCAGGATGGCTTGTGGCCAGGAGTTGCAGACCACCCTGGACAACACAGTGAGACCTGTCTCTACAAAAAAGAAAACATTAGCCAGGTGTGGTGGTGCCTGCCTGTGGTCCCAGCTACTTAGGAGGCTGAGGTAGGAAGATTGCTAGAGCCTAGGAGATGGAGGCTGCAGTGAGCCGTGATGGTACCACTGCACTCCGGCCTGGCCAGTAGATCAAGACCCTGTCTCAAAAAAATAAAAATAACTGGGCTGGGCACGGTGGCTCACACCTGTAATCCCAGCACTTTGGGAGGCCGAGGCAGGTGGATCACGAAGTCAAGAGATGGAGACCATCCTGGTCAACATGGTGAAACCCCGTCTCTGCTAAAAATACAAAAAATTAGCTGGGCATGGTGGCGCGTGCCTGTAATCCCAGCTACTCAGGAGGCTGAGGCAGGAGAATTGCCTGAACCCAGGAGGTGGAGGTTGCGGTGAGCCGAGATCACGCCATTGCACTCCAGCCTGGGTAACAAGAGCGAAACTCCGTCTCAAAAAAAAAAAAAAAAAAAAAAAAAAAAAAAAAAAAAAAGTGATCTGTTATAAAATCCAATGTTATTTAAAAAGAAATAAAAACCAGAAAAGGAAATGAAACTCTGGAGTATGCTACAACAGAGAGGAGCTTTTTTTTTTTTTTTTTTTTTTTTGGTGAGACAGGGTCTCACTCTGTCACCCAGGCTACCAAGCTAGAGTGGTAAAATCATGGCTCATTGTAGCCTGGAACTCTCAGGCTCAAGGAAGCCTCCCACCTCAGCCTCCCAAGCCACTGGGACTACAAGCATGCACCATCACACTCAGCTAATTTTTTTTTCTTAGAGATGGGTCTTGCTATGTTGCCCAGGCTGGTCTCAAGCTCCCATGCTCATGCTCCTGCCTGGCCTCCCAAGGTGCTGGGATCACAGGTGTGAGCCACTGTGCCAGCACAGGGATGGAATGCCCCCGAGCACAGGACACGGAGGGCAGGGAGCCAGGCACAGAGGGAACGCATCATGTGGCTCTTCATACATGAACTGTCTATGGAGACAGAGAATGGAGGGTGGTTACCAGGCCAGAGGGGGAAGTGGGCAGCTTCTGTTTAATGGTGACAGTTTCTCTTTGGGGTGAGAAAAAGATTCTGGAAATAGTGGTGGGTATACAACATTGTAAATGCGCTTAATGCCTCTAAATTGGGCAGTTAAAAATTATTTAAAAGGCATGTTTATATTATGCATTTTTACCATGATAGACCATTTTAAGAAATATATACATGGTTAAAACAGTTTTCAGGCTGCGCACGGTGGCTCATGCCTGTAATCCCAGCAGTTTAGGAAGCCAAGGTGGGCGGATCACCTGAGGTCAGGAGTTCGAGACTAGCCTAACATGGAGAAACGCCGTCTCTACTAAAAATACAAAAAGTAGCAGGGTGTGGTGGCAAATGCCTGTAATCCCAGCTACTCGGGAGGCTGAGGCAGGAGAATCGCTTGAAACTGGGAGGTGGAGGTTGTGGTGAGCAGAGATCACACCATTGCACTCCAGCCTGGGTGAGAAGAGTAAAACTCTGTCTCAAAAAAAAAAAAATACAGAAACAATTTTCAGTCAACTCTCTGCCTCCCTCACAGCCTGGA